CATGGTAATGCTGATGGACTGAGCCAAAGACCCTACAAAAATGACTGCAGACATTGCTGCGAAAGAGAGGTTGAACTAACCAGGTGCCATCAAGCTAAAGTCAAGATGACTGAAAGAGTTGATGATGTTGAAATGGAACCAAATATAGATATCAAAGCAGAACAGGAGAAAGACCAAGATTTGAAGCCAGTGATTGATTTTCTAAAAGCAAGTGTTTTGGGCCCTGCTTGGGAGAATGTGTCTAGTCTAAGCCCTGTGACAAAGAACTATTGGGCACAATGGGACCAGTTGAGGCTTGAAGATGGTATTCTTCTCCGGAGATGGGAAAATGACGACCTGGCAAACGGTTATACCGAGAAAGTTATGGGAAGTTGTGCTGCGTCAATCCCATGATATTGTAACAGGAGGACATCTCGGAGTTAAGAAAACATTGAGTCACCTACGACAGAGATTTTACTGGATAGGTATGAGACAAGATGTGGAAGAATGGTGCAGAACATGCAGAAAAATGTTGTGCTAAAAGGGGACCCAAGCATAAGGGACGTGCGCCAATGAAGTTATATCAAGTTGGTGCACCAATGGAAAGAGTAGCCGTCGACATTGCTGGTCCTTTGCCCCAAACTTGTGCTGGAAACAAGTACATTTGTGTGGTGATGGATTATTTCACCAAGTGGCCTGAGGCATATGCAATACCAAATCAGGAAGCTACAACTGTCGCTTCGGCTATTAGTGATTTCTTCTTCAGATTTGGTATGCCGTACGAACTGCATTCAGATCAAGGCCGTAACTTTGAATCAGCTGTGTTCCAAGAATGCTGTAAATTGTTTGGCATCCGAAAGACCAGGACAACACCACTGCACCCACAGTCTGATGGGATGGTAGAAAAGTACAACTGGACACTGGGACAGGAACTGGCAAAGTTTTGTAATAGCCACCAAGATGACTGGAAGTCTTACTTCCTCCACTGTTGATGGCCTATAGGACAGCAGAGCATGAAACCACTGGATACACTCCAGCAAAGTTGATGTTTGGTCGGGAACTTCGGTTGCCAATGGATCTGTTAACAGGACGCCCACCTTATGAAGAGTTGCTTGAGAATGTGTGAAAGTGTTATCGGAAAGGATAGATGATATTCACCATCAAGTGCGTTCAAACTTGAAAACGTCTGCTCATTCGATGAAGTTATCTTATGATAAGAGATCTACTGAAGTCAGCTTTGTTCCAGGAGACAAGGTATGATTGTATAATCCCAGGAAGACCAAAGGGAAGTCTCCTAAGTTGTCTTCTCCATGGGAAGGCCCATATGACATAGTGGATCGTCTCTCAGACGTGACTTTTCAGATAAAATGTGGTCGGCGACGTAAGCCAGAAGTGGTGCATGCCAACAGGCTTTGGCGTTATCACGGTCCAGGACATTTCAGTTGGGACGAAGTGAACAAAGGACGCTGCTGAAGAGGTGTCACCTGAAAAAGCCAACGTCGAAGAAGAAATTCTACTCAGTTTTTGAGAAGGGAAACGATGAAGCTCTTGATGAAGTTACTACCACTGATGTGACTGTTACCGATGATAGGACATTTACTGATGAAGCAGAAGCCAACGAAACGGAGACCAGTACGAAAGAAGATACG